CTATTAATTAGTTGTTTTTTTTTTTGTTTTTCATTTGTTACGAAATTAACCGTCAACTTTACAAGCATTAGAAGTACGGTTAGTGTAAAATATAACATTTTCTAACCGTAACTGGGTATGTCAAGCACTTCCCTGATCTGGAAAGCTTCATCGGAAAACGACCTGTTGTAGTCTTTGTTACATCCAACTAGAACAAGAAGAATTATACTCATTGTTTTCAAAGCAATGAAAAATGAGGATACACAATACTATAACAAATGAAAAGAACACATACGTTGCAGCGACAGCAGGTTAGTAAAATTTAATAATATGTCTGAATACTAAACTACTACACAAAGCACTAACTCTGTATAGTTTAGGTAATAAAGTGGAGAGGTCAAAAGAAAATGTATAAATGAAGACGTAGGTAAGTGTACCACGCTCGGTGTTTTTATCGAACAGAACGAAATCTCAGTATTTCCAAGTCAACAAAACAGTCTTTTCTTTTATATTGCGTGATCTTTACAACAGGACACAGAAAACTGTAATTTTAGTCGTTGTCTCACTACGTCTGTGTCGATACACGTCAGGAACACAACTGTTTGCTACATTGATTCTATGGTCTAGATTCTATGGGCAAGGGGTCATCCATACATTTACCTATTTCGGTAACAAAATGTTCAAAATTTAGTATGGCTGGCATGAATAAAGTATGCCAGTTCGGATTATTACACTATATTCATTAAGACACTTTTAGATGACCTGTATAAATTTGTTGGGGTCAACTGGCTATTTTTGGTATATTTAGCGGACAGATACGTATAAATTTAACTTCAGGTGGATTAGTTTCACATAGTTTAAAATACAACTACTAATCCATCTCAAGTCTTTAAAAAACAACAACAACTAAATGATGGTCTTGAAGCTACAAATACAAGCTGAAGAAAAATCACACAAAGAACTCAACATTCTACGGAATATTGAGGGGATGGGTGTTAAAATATCATCGAAACATTACATCCAATAGTTGAAAATCGACCTGACATTTAGGTTGATGCTTTGGTCGTTCTATTTCACTCATGTATAGCCAACACTTTCCAACCGTATACAAACTAAAATGAAAACAGAAATTTGGGTTAAGTTACTAACTGCGTCAAATCACCGAAATAAATAAATGCATGTGTGCGTTTTAATATTTCATTGCTCTTCAATAAAGCCCCACACCAACATATATGTTAGGCCATCCTCTAGTTGTCTGCAAGGTAGTCAAGTCAATTGCATTTATGTATAATTATTCAGATACGCCCACACGTTTATCCTGCAGTGATGAATTACATGGTATTTAGATATAAAGTAATATCATACCATATTTTTTTAATTTATGGCCTATTCGTTTGTCGTTGAATTTCGTGTAAAGTTACTCGATGGCTATCTGCGCTAGCTAGTGAACATCACCTATAGCCAACTCGTGGGCTAATCTAAGCAATTAACGTACCCAATGTATATATTTAATTTTTCGATAACGGCACGCTGACCACCGTGGCTCATTGAAGGTATTCAACTAATGATTCAATGTAATGTCATCATCAAAATTGCAGTTTTCTTAATTATTCTGTAATTAAAATCGTATAAGATTACAACTGCTCTTAATAAGAACTCTACAACGATTAGTTTTGTATTAAATGATTTTTAATTTGACGCTAAACACCACTAAGAAGCTGTCTTTCCTTATGATAATCGCAAGTAAGTTGTTTGACTCAAAATGAGATCCAAGGTTTTAGAAACACCTCGGTAAAAATATTTCTCCAAACCGGCAAGACGCCGTCTATCCAAGGCCTCTCCTGGTCACAAGGTATATACAAACCAACTGTATACTGTACTTAACTAGGCATAAAATAATATTTAAGTCTCATCATCCCCAAATCTTTAGTTTCTACCCCTTTTCCTTGAACTCTAGTGAAACAGCAGTAGACAAAAGTACTGAATGCAATATATATACTACCAATATAAATATTGTAAATGTGTACATAATCCCAATCAAACGAAGTTTTACACCAAAACATGACTTTCGTCTTCGGACAGACGTCGAATTGCGAGTCTTGAGTAATTATACGTTTTACTTCATTACTACTATTTACCTTGGTTTTCTACACACTTCGATAATTTTAGAATGGATGTCAACATTCACGTGCAGCGAGCTGTTCGATAACTGACTGAAGTCGCGAGTAACAATCGCCCGAAGACAAATAAATCAGGAGCCGGTGCTTCCTGTATTTGATTGGCATTTATTGATCAACGCTTGCTCGCCAAACAATACTAAAATTTCGATCGCGATTTTCAACATGGCCAATAAGACTTCTGACGATTGTCCATCAGCTTGTAATACCACCTGGGGAAATGCACTACACTGAAGCTTTAAACCAGTCAGCTGTGATAAGTGGCGCAGCTTTAAAATTACAAAATCTCCTTTTGTTCAATTTCATCTATAATTAATTAATATAATAAGATTCAGTGTTTGTGCGTGTCACGTAACTCCTCCTGAACAGCTGGTCGCGCCGACTTCAAGTAGAACCAAACTAATTGTCTAGGTTCCGAGGTTTGCAAAAAGGTAAAAATGTTCACTCGGTATTTCGCGAAAACACATACGTGGATTCTCCGAATGTGGACCCCAAATATAGCATGAATTTACATTAGAGCGTGTAAGTAAATACGCCTACTAATGATCAATTGTAACTTGGTTGAAGAAATTAAATTTGCATTATAGCGGCCCTGTAAATGTGGGTCATAGGCTCACGTGTTCGCTAGTCTTACTATAAAGATGACCCATTATATGTTTGAGTTAGTACTCATCACCCACAGTTAGCTGCATATATTACCACAATGTTTTGTGTGGCAACTGTTTAACGGTGTATATGGGCTATCTTGTTATAGGATTTTTGCCTGGGAGAGGGATAAAAAGTCCATGAAATTGGGCACATTTCTACTTTTTTTAACATAAATTTTGGGGTTTGAATTTAAAGACACAAGTACTTAATCAGCATCTAATGACGTCAATAAAAATGTGATAACAAAAGAAAGAAGGGAACATTAACTAACATTGTCCTTTTTATAGTTTTTGCACCTTAACAGGTACCCTCATCAACTAGTATATACATATATATTGGTTTGGTTTGTTTTTAATTTCGCGCAAAGCTACTCGATGGCTTTCTGCGCTAGCCGTCCCTAATTTAGCAGTGTAAGACTAGAGGGAAGGCAGGTAGTCAACACCACCCACCGCCAACTCTTGAGCTACTATCTTTTACAAACGAATAGTGGGATTGGCCATCACTTTATAAGGCCACGCCAGCCACTAGTATATATAAAGTGAGACCTCAGACTGTCTAAATAACCACACAGAAACATTTCTAGGACACTAGTTCTCGTCAATAGCAATGGTACGTACCTAAATCAACGTTAAAGACGACCGACATAAATACATTTTAAACATTTTCCACAATAAAATAACTGGTGTTTAAGATATTGTTGTTCTATTAACTCTTATTCTAATAACCCGATCTGTAAATCAATTAAGTACTTATAATAATTACAATTCACTTGCTTAATCTGGTTCACACTATAGCAGTTGTTCATTCATGAAAACTGATGACATAAATAGCGTCTAGACCACTGCTATGCTTGTGGTATCTCAGCCGGCCTGATGAGCCTTGGTATTTGGCGAAAGGCCTCGTCGGCACTGGATATGGCAGATGTAATATGATTAACATATTACAAGATATTCTCATTGGCTTTCACTCATGGGTTCGTAGAACTATTCGTAGTTTTAACTAACCCAAAGCTTCTGCCATCTGTCAGTTTACTTTTTGAAAGTGAGCATGATGTATCGATAAATTAACCTGTTAATAGCGTCGTGACTTTTACATACAAGCCTTTGAAACTAACGTCTTGGCAACGTTGATAAATAAATGAAACAATTTCAAATTACTAGAGGAATTATTTCAAACGTACACGTTTAGTAAAATATCAGTTACTCAGTTAATGACACGTGTCATTTCACGTTTTTTAACGTTCTATGAATGGTCATCACTAAACTTTTTACGCATCTTTCTGGTTAAGGGCGTTAAATTTTCTTACCTTCTTTCTACGATTGTATAAACCTCAAATAAAGGTAAATCTATACGTTACATTCTTTCAAGGAATACTCGCAGCTTATGACATGTTTAATAGTTCTATACTCAACAGCACACGTTTCCCGGAAATAAGTCAAGTAAAGGTAAAGAGCTATACAAATGATTTCTGTATAGAAACACTGTGACAATGCGTGTCGCCGTCGCCAGAAATACGTCAATTTTAATGCGTGATACAGAATTTTATTTTTATTTTTCCCCCTTCTGAGAAACGAACCTAATGAAAGCTGTATGAATGCCTATCAGCATGAAAACACTCGCATAACTAGTTCGTAGGTTGAGAAAACTAATGCAACATAATCACAATTTACACAACGTTGCCCAAAATTTAGCCAATACGTTTAAAATACTAAATCATGGAGCTCGGGTTTCATTACAATACACTGTATTTCGTTATAATACGTTGGTGGTGTATCAGAATCACTTTATGAAGGGTGTGATTCCAGGATAAATAACAATAAAAGTTCATAATAGGTACAGTACTGTTCTGATTAGCATCCGCTTATATTCAGAAGTATGTAAAAAGTTGAGAATTCTGTACACCAATCTTCAGCTGTGTGAGCCTATCTTTACTTGGTTTTTTGAACTACTGTAACTATTGACCAACTGACTTTCTTGCACGTACGCTCTTTTGAAAGATACATAAAAGGAAACTCCTGAAAAAAAGGGGGAAGAGAAGCTCTCAGATTTGAGAGAACCAATATAAAAGTCAAATTAACATAAGATGCCGTTCAGAAGAATACTCTAAAACGATATTATAAAAAAAATCAAATCCAAGGTGGAATACGGGCGCCTAAGGAGTACGAGGGCTCTCAGGACTGAATCCAGGGATTTATACGAAAAATTGGCATGGACTTGTATATAAAAATCCAAAACAAGCTAGGGTAATTGTAATATAGGGTCTCAAATGGAATTTTAGGAGCTTTCAGAATCGTTCTACACAAGATGAGCAAAATTTCCTTTTTGTACCATTGTCTCCCTTGAATTTTTACGGGGAACTTACTAACATATGTAAATAATAGAA